TTTGAGAGGTTTTTGCTATAGGGCGCGTGTGCTCTCCAGAAAGACAGAGAGAGACAGCGAGACAGAAAGTGAGAAATCACCCCCAAGGGGGATGGCCACACTGCAATCCCTTCTCCTCCTCTTGGGATTTTGGGCATGCATGCACACATGTCCAGCATGAGTCCTTTTTTTAAATTAATTTATTCATTCATTAATTTTAATTTGACCAGAGAGAGACACAGAGGAAGAGAGAGAGTAAGAAAGCAAGCCACCAGATCTGGGACCCAAACAATGGGGAGCCCAGCACCCTAACCACCACGTCCGGCATGAGTTTTAAGCGACCAGGTCTGGGACTTGAACCTCGGTGGACTACATGGGAGTCCAGCAATAGTAACCATTATGCCATCTGCTGGTCCTAATTTTACAAAATTTTTAGACAGGATCTGACTATGGCAAGATCCTCTGCCTCATCCTCCCGAGTAGCTGGGCTTACAGACATGGGCAACCACACCCAGTATTTTTGGATGGGCAAGGAATCAAAGCCGGGCCTCCTGCATGGCCTCGGCCTGACGAGCAGTGTCTACCAGTGTACGTGCTGCCGTAACTGGGCCTCATCTGTATTTATCTTCATCTCCTTTTAAAAACTGCTCGATAACATTTCCCAAGTAATACAATTTTTTTTATACAGTTGACTGTCTTGTGCACACATGCAATGTACCCTCAGCATTAAAAAAAATTTTTTTTGCAGGGCTGGCAGTTGGCATCATGGTCAAGGATGCTGGACTCCCACATGGATGACTGCAGTTCAAGTCCTGGACCTGGCGGCTTGCTTTCTTGCTTTCCCTTTATCTCTGTCTCTGGTCAAATTTAAGAAATAATAATAACAAGTGGAAATAAGTAAATAAAGAAAGAAATAATAATTTGCATAACTGAAAATGTACACATTTCTCATTAGAAGAAACATCTCTAAAGTAATAAGAACCTAGGAATTTAAATAATGTCAGCAATCCCTAAGTGGAACAGTGTAATTACCTAATGCATAGATAGCTCCATAACATACACACACTCCCAAGCCACAGCGGGGGTGATTCATTGAAGCTACAGTTGTCCACTGTTTAGTTACTGGATCATAGCATTCGGTGCAGTCAAAAATCATCGAATCCTTTTCACCTGAGTTAAATAAAAGAGACGTTATCACAAGTCGTGCCAACAGACTATAATAAAATGTTCAGTACCATTCCCTGTTGTCAGACATTCAACCATTATGCCTGATTTTATACTATTCATTAAAAGTCATTGGCCTCAAAAGTGTTATTTTAAATCCATATCATTGTTGGGGCCTGCAGGTAGTGTGGTGATTAAGGGCACTGGACTCCTGCACAGCCAACCGCAGTATGAGTCCCAGACCTGGCAGCTTACTTTCTCACTTTCTGTCTGTCTCTCTCACTCTGTCCTTCCCTGGTCAAATTACAATAAATAAATAAAGTTTAAAAAGATTCATATCAGGATCAGCAGGTGGCGTCGTGGTTAAGGCGCTGGACACTCCCACATGGCTGACCGCGGTTCAAGTCCTGGACCTGGTGTCTTGCTTTCTCCCTTCTCCTCTCTCTATGTCTCTCTCTGTCAAATTAAAAATAATTGAATGAATAAATAAAATTAAATAAATAAATATTTTTAAAAATCCTTATCAGTGTCATTTATTAAAGTCCACTTATGGGGGCCAGCAGGTAGCATGGTAGTTAAAGGTGCTGGATTCCCACATGGCTGACCACAGTTCAAATCCTGGACCTGGTGGCTTGCTTTCTCACTTTCCATCTCTCTCGTGTCCTCACTCGCTCTCTCTGTCCCTCTCTGGTCAAATTAAAATAAATAAATAAATAAATAATGTAAAAAAAAAAATCCACTTATGAAACAAAGGCACGTATTTCTATTACCCTATTACCTATTCCTAATTCTTTTTTTTTTTTTTTAAGATAGCTTTTTTGCTATAGAACAGATGTGCTCATTGGAGAAACAGAGAAACAGAAAGTGAGAAAGCACTCCCAGTGGTGATGGCCACATTGCAACCCCTTCTCCTCCATTCTCCTCTCAGTATCTTGGGTAAGCACACCCATGCACCTGGAGTGAGTTTCAAGCTCCTGGGTCCAGGACTTGAACCACAGTCAACTACATGGGAGTCCAGCGACATAGCTATTATGCCATCAGCTGGACCCCCTATTTCTAATTCTACTGCCCAAACAATTCATGTAATTTCTGAGGATATAATTTGCATTTTAACACTTCAGTATTTGTTTAAATATTAGTTTGGGTAGCTGCCCCTGATACAACTTGAGTTTTAACATAATCCTTATATAGCTACAAACAGAAAAAAAAATTTTTTTAAAGATATCACTTCAAAGAGAAGTGTCTAGACAGTGGTGTGGTGGTAAAATGCAACACTCTGAGAGCAAACACATGAGAAGTTTCCAAGTTCAAGTTCTGAGACCTCACTCAGTACACCAGGTGTACATGTGCCCATGATCCAGGGCTAGCTAAAGGCTGGGGGGGATTGCAGTGTTTAGACCCTTTTGGAAGTACTGTCTCTCTGTCTCTGTCTCTCTCATTCATGAAAGAAAGAAACTTTAAAAAACAGAATTTTAAAATATACTATACCTAGGAATAAATCTAACCAAAGATTGTATAAGGCTTCTATGGATAAAACTTATAAACTTTATTTACATAAAACTTCAAGGAACATCAAAATAAGTGAAGAGATGCATTATGTTCATGGATAAGAATCAATGTGAGGGCTGGTAGGTGGCATGGTGGTTGAGACCACTGAACTACCACATGGCTGTCTGTGGTTCGAGTCCTGGACCTGGCAGCTTGCTTTCTCACTTTCTCTCTTTCTCTCTCTCTCTCTTTGTCCCTCTTTGGTCAAATTAAAGTAAATAAATAAATAAAGGTAAATAAAATAAGTTTCAAAAAATAAAAAGAATCAATGTAAGACTGATAATTATCCCTAGACTGATTTATAGATTTAATGTAATCCCAATCTAAAAGAGAAAGTTTTAAAATGGATTTGACAAATTAATTCTAAAATTTATATTGAAAGTACAAAGGGCCTAGAATAGCCAAGCACTACCAGAAGAGAATAATATGGAGGAAAAAACAGTTCCATCGTATATCGAGACTTATAACACAGCTAAAGTAATTAAGATAGGGATAGACAGACTAATGGAACAGAAAACTTCAGGAAAAGAGCCATACACAGATGACTACACAGTATGTGACGGAGTTGGCAATGCAGAGCAGACAGGAACCATCAATTTTCTATGCTGAGATAACTGACTATACATATGGGGGGAAATGAAGCCGGTTCCTTACTTTGTACTAGTCATAAAAACTCAGTCTCAGGTAGACTGTGGAATAAATGTGAATAGTTAAACTACAAGATTTTATAAAACAATAAAGGGGAGCTGGCAAGTGGCATAGTGAGTAAGGCGTTGGACTCCCACATGGTTGACCATGGTTCGAGTTCCAGACCTGGTAGTTTGCTTTCTCTTTTCCCTCTCTCTCTCTGGTGAGTACATGTGGCCTTAAGCAAATTAAAAGATATTAACAGGGGCTGGCAGGTGGCATGGAGGCTAAGGGCACTGGACTCCCACATGGCTGACTGCAGTTTGAGTCCCAGACTTGGTGGCTTGCTTTCTCACTTTCCTCTCTCACTCTGTCCCTCTCCGGTCAAATTAAAATAAATACAATACATAAATAAAGTTAAATGAATAATTTTTTTTTTCTATAGGGCACGTGCGCTCACCAGACAGACAGAGACAGAGAGACAGAAAGTGAGAAATCACCCCCCAGGGGGGATGGCC